TGCCCTAATAAGCTAATGTAATAAGTCATTTTACCAAATACTTAAAGTGGCTTATTAACCCGTCAAATCAGCCAAACTTAATCAATCGAATCAATATTGGTTTACCTTATGGCATATGACTATATGAGATCATGGATTGAACATGGAAGACTAGAGAGTTTTTGTTAACACTACTCTTCTGAACAAGCTCAAAAATATAAAAATAAAAACAATATAAACGAAGCTCAAAATTATGATGAACGTACATTTATAGCAAAATGCACAAAATAGAATAATGTCCATGATTATTAAATAATGAGGAGTTAATACCCAAAATCGTCCTCGACTATAGTAGTTTTTCTCAATTTCGTCCTAAACGACTTTGGTGACCTAATATCGTCCCGGACTTTTGTGTTTTGCTCAATTTTGTCCTCCATTTGTTATTCCGTCAAATTGGTGTTAAATAAATGGACAATTCAGTAATGTCAATATTGATCTCTCTTTACTTTCAACTTGTGAAGTGCGAAATTCCTCTTTCTTGTACGAATTACACCCAGAATTACTCCCGGACCTGCAAATCAAATTTTATATTTGCAATTTTAGGAGTAATTCTGGGAGTAATTCGTAAAAAAAAAAAAAAGATTTCGCAGTTCACATGTCTATGAGTAAAGAGATGCCAATATTAAAATTACTGAATTGTCTATTTATTTAACACCAAATGGATAGAATAACAAATGAGGGACTAAATTGAGAAAAAACACAAAAGTCTGGGACTAAATTGAGCGAAACACAAAAGTCGGGGACGATATTAGGTCACCAAAGTCGTTTAGGATGAAATTGAGAAAAACCACTATAGTCGAGGACGATTTTCGGTATTAACTCAAATAATGAGGGATTTGCCATAAACCAGATTACCTTAAATATAATATAGTGCATATGCAATATAATATAATTTATTGGTTGAAAAGATTTAAGGCTAAATTAGAAATGGAGAAGCCAGCATCCACAACAAGATTGTGGCCACTCACATACTTGGACTGATCACTTGCAAGATAAAGAACAGCCTCTACAACATCCTCTGCCATCAAATCCACACCTTTAAGGCTTGAATACACATCAAATTTGTCATCCTCTGACAACCCAAAATAGTTCCTTGCCATCTGTGTAGGAACTGCATAAGGGGAAACACAATTGACTCGGATACCGTATCGCCCCAAGTCGAGGGCAGTGTTCTTAGTCAGGCCAACAATTGCATGTTTACTACTGGAAATTATGGAATTTTCGACCACAAGTGATTTTAAATCAAGTTGAAAGTAAAAAGTGGTCGGAAATAGCAACGAAGGTTTTTTCAGATACCAAAAGTGGTCAAGACTTTCAACTTGATTTAAAATCACTTTCAGGTGGTCGGAAATTCAATAATTTTCAGCAGTGTGTTTTGAGCATGTATAAGCATGTGGTAAGCCCCCCATAACACCAGCAACACTAGCTGTGTTTATTATGCTCCCCCTTTGCACAGGTTTCATCGCACGAGCAGCGTGTTTCGTTCCCAGAAATGCACCTAGGGTGTTAACACTTAACAAAATCAGTCCCATCACAATCAAGAATGCCCAATACCTTCGCTCCCGCAATGCCTGCATTGTTCACCATTATATCAAGCCTTCCATGTGTAGAGACTGCTTTGTTCACTGCATTTTGGACATCTGCTTCGCTTGTGACATCACAGTGAACAAAGAAAGCATTACCGGGACCTAAATCTTTGCAGATAGATGTTGGAACCGTGGGTAGGAAAACAAATAATAATCAAATAAAATTGACTATTATTTTCTGAAAAGAAGGGAAGAAAAGATAAAGAAATTTGGCTAGTGTTTGGTGTTGGGTTTTTGCAAGAGTCAAGTGAGCACTCTTTCCTTAAAACCTTATTTGTCACCTCCCAAAGATGCTAGGAGCGTCGTGGCCTAGGCTTCCCAGGATAAAACTTGCTAGTGATTCAATGTTTGAGTACTCAAACAAGGAATCCGGCGAGCAAGACACGGCTATGAACACAAGAGGCTAAAGGAGTAGAAGCAGAGAGGTTTTGAGGCTAAAAAGAAGAACTTTCGTGATCTATTACTGTGTGTAAAACTCTACTGCCCAACTCTTCTTTATACAGGGGTGAAGGATTTAATAGCTTTTAATTAGGCACTTAAGGGCACCCCTCCACCTCTCTGTAACAGCACTATTAACATCGTCTTCAATTGAAAATAAAAAATTGGAATTAACTCAAAAAATTAATTCCGTAACAGTAGAATTGAACACCCAACGGTCACAAAACTGCACAGGTTCGTGTAGGCCGAAACTTCCAGTTTCGACCGCCAGGCCGAAACTAGAAGTTTCGGCCATGGGCCCTTATCATGTCTCGGCCCGCAAGGCCGAACCAAGGTGTAGTTTCGGCTACATCTTACAGTGGCGTGTTGGAAAATGACAGTCCGTTTGGCATAACTTAGCCCGCAAGGCCAGCTAATTTTCGGACGACATTCGTGCCCGCAGGTGCCGGCGCACACGAGCTCGGGCTTGAATCAAGCCTTTTTCAAGTTTGTAAGGGTAACCCAATCAAGTTTGTCAAGTTGTTGGTTTTGCAAGTATAAAATTTCAAGTTGATTCCTAATTGGATTCGCCTATTAGCTTTCTTGTTTTGAATCAAGTCACTTATAAACAACTATGCTAGTTTACTTCATTAAGGTCATTTAGTGTCATAAGACAAGATTTATCCGTGTACACTCTCCAGTAATAAGTGCAGTTTCTCTTCTTTTCAAGTTTCATTATAGTTTTCTCTTTCCTACATTCCTTACTAAAGTTTGGCCAGTCTTCAAAGTTCAAACACTTCTGTGAGAGAGACTTTAATTTTATGAAATCATAAAACGTAATATTTACAATTTAATTTTTTATAATCCTAAGTTTAAAATATTTAAAATTTTCATAAAAAGTATTATCAAACACAAAAAATACTAAAAGAAAAAGACAAAGTAAAAAAGAACTAGGTGCTTTTGTTGAGCATATAACCATTAATGTGCAATCCAACTATCATTTTAGACTTTTAGTTGAGATAAAGCACATGCTTCAATTGCTTTCACCAATAAAAATAGTACAACTAAAAATAAATTTCAATCAAATCTAATTTGAGTTGACTTATATTATTTTGTATAAAAAAGAAAGCAATTATTATATATATATATATATATATATATATATATATATATATAAATCATTCTCACTTATAAAATAGAAAACAATTTTGTTTAAACAGGTTACATAACTATAATACTCCATATAAAATAAGAATTTAAAATTTTGAAATTAAGAATAAATTTATGGCGCGGTTAATTTTTTTTTTTTATACTACTAACTCTATTATAATATAGTATCTGTTTAATTTGAAAATACATTTTTCACTTTCTTTTTTTTCCCAACATTCTTCAAAGATAGTGGGTCCCACTTGGAAAGCAAAAAGGAATAAAAATAAGAGGAAAAAACAAAATCAAATACATCATTTTTTAAACACTCGTGATTCTTTACAAGATAGTATGCCAAAGAATTAAGGAATAAGGGTCAAATTAGTCATCGAACTACACACGAAAATGCAATTAGGCCACTGAACTCAAAAAACATGCAATTAGGTCTCTGAATAACGCAAAATGATGCAATTGAACCCAAAAGTGACCTGCTTACCTGAAGTGGAGGTTATTTTATTAAAATAATAATTTTTTATTTTATTAAATAATTATAAATAACAAAAAAAAATTAAAAAAAATAATAATAAAAAAACGCCTCGTCTCCAGGCCGCTGGAGACGAAGAAGTCCCTTCATCTCCGGCCTGGAGACGATGGAAGCCCTTCGTCTCCGGCCTGGAGGTGAAGGGAGCCCTTCGTCTCCAGCTTGGAGACGAAGGATGAGATCCTTCGTCTCCATGTCGGAGTCGTCCCTTCTTCTCCGGCATGGAACGTTTCCAGGCTGTTGGAGACGAGGCATTTTTTTTTAATTTGTTATTTACAATTATTTAATAAAATAAAAATTATTATTTTAATAAAATAACCTCCACTTCAGGTAAGTAGGTCACTTTTGGGTTCAATTGCATCATTTTGCGCTGTTCAGTGACCCAATTACATGTTTTTTGAGTTCAGTGGCCTAATTGCAATTTTGTATGTAGTTTGATGACATATTTGACCCTTATTCCAAGAATTAATACCCGCACTATCGGGGTTTGATCCTATTACCACCCATTTGAAATGATAAGAAATGTGTCATCACCATCTAATTGAACATGAAAAAGCAATTGGACTGATGAACTAAAAAAAGTATTATTATTCAAACCATATTACAGGTATATACTAAGAGAATCATAGGGAGTCATAATCTAACTCAAATACATAGAGTCCTAATACTCCCCCTCAAGCACATGGTAACTTGTAGCTTATCTCTAACAAAAGAAAATCTAGGACTAGGTAGAGTATATCAGTAAGTTGATCTTTGGTTGAAATAAAATTAACTTGAATATCTCCTTTTTATACTAATACTAAAGCCTGTACTATATATACATATATACATACAAATATTATATATGGGGTGGGGGTGGGAGTGGGGTTGGGGTGAGGGGGGCAGCCGCCCCCTGCCCCCTTTGGCTCCGTCCCTGCAGACTTATATGTAGCACCAAGATTATCACACTACAACTTAGAAATAGATACATTGTTCACGCCAATCTCACGTAATAGAGATAAGACTCACACAACTTCAGCACAGACATCTGCTACAATCTTATATTCTGTCTCAGTAGAAGATCTAGTAATAATTCTTTGTTTTTTGCACACTCAAGATACAAGATTGGAACCAAGAAACACAACATAATCACTAGACAATAGTTGTATGGATAAATATATGGAGATCATGGATTGGACATGCACGATTAGAGAGTTTTTGTTAACACTACTCTTCTGAACAAGCTCAAAAATATATAAAAATAAAAACAATATAAAAGCAGCTCAAAAATATGATGAACGTACATTTATAACAAAATGCAGAAAATAGAATAATGTCCATGATCATTATATGATTTGCCATAAACGAAATTACCTTAAATATAATATAATGCATATGGAATATATATAATATAATTTATTGGTTGAAAAGATTTAAGGCTAAATTAGAAATGGAGAAGCCAGCATCCACAACAAGATTGTGGCCACTCACATACTTGGACTCATCACTTGCAAGATAAAGAACAGCCTCTGCAATATCCTCTGCCATCAAATCCACACCTTTAAGGCTTGAATACACATCAAATTTGTCATCCTCTGACAACCCAAAATAGCTCCTTGCCATCTGTGTAGGAACTGCATAAGGGGAAACACAATTGACTCGGATACCATATCGCCCCAAGTCAAGGGCAGTGTTCTTAGTGAGGCCAACAATTGCATGTTTTGAGCACGTATAAGCATGTGGAAAACCCCCCATAAAACCAGCAACACTAGCTGTGTTTATTATGCTCCCCCTTTGCACGGGTTTCATCACACGAGCAGCGTGTTTCGTTCCCAGAAATGCACCTAGGGTGTTAACAAGAAACACATTAACAAAATCAGTCGCATCGCAATCAAGAATGTCCGATACCTTGGCTCCCAAGATGCCTGCATTGTTCACCATTATGTCAAGCCTTCCATGGGTGGAGACTGCTTTGTTCACTGCGCTTTGGACGTCTGATTCGCTTGTGACATCACAGTGAACAAAGAAAGACTGGCTTTCATCATCTCTGGTGTCGGCTATTAGGACTTTGGCACCATGTTGACAGAATACCTTGGCAATGGCAGATCCAATGCCACCAACACCACCAGTAATTATTGCTACTTTTCCTTCCAACCTATATATATATGAGCCAACAAGTTATGAAATGTATATATGATGAACTACTGTTCACAGTGTACTATGGAAATTACCCAAAAATGGAATATATCAGATCCAATTATGCATAGATACCTCTTAGCAGCAGTAGAAAGGAGCGAACTGCTCACCATTTTTCTTGAATCGATCTCTTGAGATGAGATGACCAATACTTCCTCCCTTCAACACTCCCTTTCTAACCTCTAAAAGTCTTCAATACAGGCAAACAGTTGGTTCCTGCGTTTATTGCTTTCATCTGTCAATAAGTAACACATGTTTTTCCTCCTTTTTTTTTTTTTTTTTTTAACAAGTAACACGTGGTTTATATCTTTGAGGATAGCTACACAAAAGCAAGTAATAATGTCCACATATTTTCTTAAAATTATTGTGCCATAGTATGGAAAATATTCCAAGGGACCTATCATATGTAGATAAAACATCACTTGTTATATACTCTACCATCAACATCAAATGAAACTATAGTAGAATTAAAATAATATTTTATTATGAAAAGAAGCAAATGGACCCTCGAACTTTACTTCAGAAGTCAATTAGACCCTCAACCTTTTTAAAGTTGCAATTAAGTACATAAACAAGTCAAATTAGTTCATCAAGGCCCATTTACCTGTTAGTGACCTGTAATACCAAGTCACTTAAATTCCAACCACTGTTCCGGTAATAAAAATTTACAACGGAGATCAAAACGTCGCCAAAGAAGGCATGGCCATCTCCGGCGACTGGAGATGGTGACCAAAATGGTCGCCTGCAGACGATGTTAAGAAGCCCCATGTAAACAAGCACAAGCCGAAACAAACTAAGCTCAAGGCCAGCATTACTTCCGGCACTGTTCTGATTATCCTCGCTGGCAGGTTCAAGGGCAAGAGAGTTGTGTTCCTGAAGCAACTCCCTTCTGGGTTGCTCCTTGTCACCGGACTCTTCAAATTTGAGGTTAAAATAGATTTTCTATAAGATAGTTCTTAATTAAAGCATTTGGTTCAAGTTTCACAGGTTTCACTCAGATTGAATTTTTGGGTCAACACTTGGTACATAAATGTACTCGAAACTTAGGATTTTCAAATAGCTATTTCTTGGTGTTGAATTGATTTAAAATCTCAATTTAAAATATTTAATTCATACACCGTTTTTAGAAAATATTTGGAAGAGTAAAAATAATTATTTTGGAATTTTATAAAATAGAATTTAGGAAAATAATTTTTGAGTTATCAGACCTGGTATTACAAGTCATTAACCGGTAAATGGGCTTTGATGAACTAATTTGACTTGTTTATGTATCTAATTGCAACTTTAAAAAGTTTGAGCGCCTAATTGACTTTTGAAATAAAGTTCGAGGGCCTATTTGACCCTTTCTCCTATTTTATTTACTATAACGTAACGAAGCTAGTATGTGTGGAAAGTGAAACTAAAAAATAGAACACATTATTGTCAAATGAAACTGTAATATAAATATAATGATACTTTAGTATTTCTATAATGAAAATAGTGTGCTTGAAAAATGAAATTAAAATTCAAAGTCATACAATAACATATGTTGTCTAATGACCTGAAGTGCAATTTAAATAATACTTCATAATTAAACTAGTGTGTATAGCGAAGCAGTCTAGAATTCATGCCTACCCATGCCAAAGAAGGTCCTAGTGATAGGCCGTGACATCTATACAAGCGTGGCAGCAGGTTCACCACGCCAACCCGCCGGTTTCAGCCGAAACATACGGCGCCAGCATGCAGCCACCGCCCCCTGTGCAGCCACGGTCCACCCCCGCTGCAGGAACAGTAGCGGCGAGGCCCACCTACTGCTACATCGACGCCGGATACAGGCAACAATTGAACTCAGCCACAGTCGGTGCAATCTTGTTCGACGACCACGGTGAATATATATCGGCTTATAGTGCACCCTTGCACAACTGTTTCTCACCACTTATGGTAGAAACTATGGCGTGCAAAGAAGTGTTGTCATGACTCAGAACACGAGGAGAATCGTCAGTTGAAGTATACACGGACTGTCAGACACTCTAGACATATCTGTCCTCTACGGAGACTCGGTCTCGATCCTATCTTGGTTATGCTTTAGATGTTTGCAGAGCTTATATGGCAATGTTTAGTTATTGCTCAGTTAATTTTATTCCTAGATCGCAGAATTATTTAGCGCATACTTTAGCTTCTGATGCTTTTAATTTCGATTTGTCTATGTACTTGGATGCTATCCCACCAGACTCAGTTTCATGTTATCTATAAATGCAACCACAATGGTTTTCCTCAAAAAAAAAAAAAAAAAACTAGTGTGTATAGAAAATGAAAAAAAAAAAAAATAGAGCTCAAGCAATAATTTATATTATCAAATGAAATAAAATGAAACTTTAGTATTGCTATAATGAAACTACAGTCGAGGGAAAATGAAGTATTGCTAAAAAGCATAGCTATATTATCAAATGAAACTGAAGTATAATTAAAATGATAAATACTTTATGATCCACACTGCTACATAGATCATGGTCCACAGTAAAATTTGCCATAAAATATTTACTAGGTTATGGTAATAAAGTACACTCGACCATCTTGATGTCTTATAAGTCCAAATTACTCGTAAAAGATCCAAACTCACAAGGTTGACAAATTACGGTCCACACAGTTGTACGGAACACGATTTAAAATATCATCGTGAATATTTTGAGTAAAAGTAATGTACATTATGTGTTAGAATAATGTACATTATGTGTTAGAATAATGTACATTATGTGTTAAAATAATGTACATGACGTGTTTAGAATAATGAAACATCTGTGATAACATAATGTATATTATGTTTTAAAATAATGTACATTATGCTTTAGAATAATGTACAATATGTTTTAGAATAATGTACATTATGAGTTATAAAAATGTAAGTTGCAACTGGGTGCGTGAAAAAATAAAACTAAGCAAAACGACGTCGTTTTTTTGTCGTTGTCCACGTAGCTGTTTGGGCCACGATCCACGCAATAACTGGATGTTGAACGACCCACTAGAGACCGAACGAACTGTTCATGGGCAATTTATATCGTGGACCAAGGTCCATAGTGCACTGTGGACTCTGGTCCAATACACATAATTTGACTTCATAATTTAAGAATTTATGTTCATAATGTACATAATTTATGTTCATAATACATATACACATAAACACGATGTAATGAAGACACATAAACACTTAACATAATACACATAATTTGACTTCATAATTACAGAATTCATGTTCATAATGCACATAATTCATGTTCATTATATCATGTTTATGTGTATGTGTATTATGAGCATAAATTATGTACATTATGAACATGAATTCTGTACATTATGAAGTCAAATTATGTATATTGGACCAGTGTCGTCCACAGTGCACTGTGGACCTTGATCTCCAATATAAGGATTGTTGTTCATGACCATACTGCTACAACGTCTGAAGTTCCTGAATCAAAGCATCCTAGTTTCCTAGTGCTCACGAGCAGGGACGGAGCCAGAAAATATGTTGAGGGGGGGGGGGGGGGGGGGGGGGGCAAAGAAGTAGGGATGGATTCAATGGCGGATTCAGAATTTTTTTTTTTAGTGAGGGAAAAAAATTAAAATAAAAGAGAAAGTTTTTTTTTTAAAAATGAAATACTTAAGAAGTATAACAATAAATATTGTTGGATATAGCGAAAAATAAAACATATTAAAACTTTATACAAATATTTATAACAAAATATGAAACATAATTAATTTGATAAAACAATTCGAATATAAAACACATTATAAATTACACATTCCATTATTAATATAAAGAAAGTTATAATGGAAGTTATATATATCATGCACAAATTTAATTGTGTTAATCAAAAAAGTGAAGAAAACTATGACATTGTCAATGCAAAAACTCAAACCCAAGCCATTCCAAAACTTATATACATTAGCTACCACCTTGTCTATCATAGCTTTTGTTTACATAATCTGTTTTATAATACTTATATGAATAATGTACTATATATACATATTATATACAATATAGGGTAGGGGTGGGGTGGGGTGAGGGCAGCTGCCCCCCTCTGCCTCCGTCTATGCTCACGAGTATGAGTGTATGACCCTTTTGAAGCTACAAATCTTGTTGGTGTTACCGTGTCTCTATTTCATCTCAAAAATATAAAAACAAAAAACAATATAAACGCAGCTCAAAAATATGATGAACATTTATAGCAAAATGCACAAAATAGAATAATGTCCATGATTATTAAATGAGGGATTTGCCCTAAACCAGCTAACCTTAAATGCATATGGAATATAACTTATTGGTTGAAAAGATTTAAGGCTAAATTAGAAATGGAGAAGCCAACATCCACAACAAGATTGTGGCCACTCACATAGTTGGACTCATCACTTGCAAGATAAAGAACAGGCTCTGCAACTTCTTCTGCCATCAAATCAACACCTTTAAGGTTTGAATACACATCAAGTTTGTCATCCTCTGCCAAACCAAAATAACTCCTTGTAATTTGTGTAGAAAGTATATAAGGGGACTTTGGCGGGTCGGTTTGCCCCGCGGTGCGATATGAGGGGACTTTGGCGACCTCGACGTTGGCCTCGGTTCGGACCGACATTCGACTCGAGCTACTCTCTTTCGTTGACAACGACTCGCAACTCAGAGAGTGTGGGACTCATGATGGATATATTAAGAGAAGGGACTCGGGGCAAACTGACCCGGGAGTCGCGGCGTGATGCGAAGGGTCTGGGAGATCCCAACTGGGTCCCCGGCGTAGACCTGGGATGAGGTCTACTACGTAGACCCCAGTTGGGGACGACCCCAGCGCCGGCCAAGGTTGGAGTCAACCTCGGCGTCGGCCTCGGCCGGGGTCGACCTCGTGGCAGACCCCAACGCTGGGGTTAGGCGGTCACGCGGGGTGTAACACCCCGAAATTTTTAAACTTTTGAAACGTATATAATAAATGTAGATTCTCATTAAATCCCAAAACATAATAAAGAGTACGGGGTGCTAGGCCACACCTGAGCTGGAGAACTCAGGTGCACAGGCTCACTAACTAAAATCCTCAACAATATCAATACATAAGCATGGCACGCAGGCCGAAAGGGAAACTATCTACTCTACGCTTCAGATCTCTAGCGCGCTCCAGTGTCTACTCGTCAGTGCCTGAAAGGCAAATATATCTGTTCAGCGAGAG